TTCTGATATTCTCTGCTTTCAGCCAAGATCCATCGGACAACAGCAAAGATATCTCTCGTTCCCCGGCCTCTTCTGAATCCAGCGTGAACCTCTGGAAGTTCTCTGTCAATGTATGATTGTAGCCGTTTCTGTATTACCTTTAGCAAAACTTTACTCGCTTGAGATATCACTATGTCCCATAGTGACTCTGTATAGTGTTTCTGAGGAGTGGCTGGTGAGCTTGAACCACTGATCTTATGGTTCAAACCGACTTTGTATTCCACAGCATTAACCCACAGCGCCACCTAATGGTAAATTAAAATTAGTTCCTGACACAAAAAGTAGATGAACTTGGAGGACAGCATGTTGATTGATAGATGTCAATCACCAAAACAAAACAAAACAACCCAGGCTTCGTGTAGTAAAGTCAAGGATGGTGGACGTTTCTGATATTACTATAAACGAGGTAACTCAGGCACTGGAGAACAACATTGAGGGTTGTCTAGGGAAGTCACTGCCGGTGGGAGAGATAACTGCTAAAGCAGGTCAAGGACAGTGTTTAGTGGATGGTGGTGGTGGTTATGTGCCGTGGAGTCAGTTCCGACTCATAGCGACCCTGTAAAGGGTTTCCGAGGCTGTAAATCTTTATGGGAGCAGAACGCCTATATCTTTCTTCCGGGGAACAGCTGGTAGTTTCAAACTGCTGACCTTGTGGTTCACAGCCCGATTCCTAACCACTACGCTACCAGAGCTCCTTTGTTTAGTGGATAGTATTTCCTAAACAGGGCAGTTTTGAAAATTTGGGAGCACTGCAGAAACGTCTTTCACTGCAGGAGAAAAATACACTCAGGCAAAGAGAAGTGAAGCAGGGAGATGGTAGCCACAGGCTGTCTCCTTCTAAACAGGCCTCCTCTGATGTCTGTTCTGTGTCCTGAAACTCTGAGATTAGCAATGCTGTTGTTGTTGTGAAGTGCCGTCGAATCGTCTCCGACCCATAGCGACCCTGTATAGGGTTTCTGAGGAGCAGCTGGTGAGCTTGAACGGCTGACCTTGCAGTTCAAATGGCTTTGCAGTCTGGCGCATTAACCCACAGCGCCACACCAGACAATGCTGGCTGCCCCCTTTAAAAGCATTTTCTCCTATATCTTAGTTTCCCATAGTCATTTTTTTAGAACGGTGTTTTTCAAAAGTACAGTCTCCTGGAGTTGTAGGAGACAGTTAAGGTGGTAGTGGGAAAGCAGGGCTTCTCCACACTACCCCACCCTTAGAATTTATTGCTTCTTTTTCCTGTCCTCAGTTTTCGTTTTATTCTGTCACTTTTTACACGCTATTAATGTAGTCCATGCGTGGTGCCTGAGAAGTACTGTAATATTTGCCTTTCTCACCCTCTAGAATGAGAAACCAGAAGGCAGAAACTATTTGAACGGCTGTTTCTTCCCCATCTAATACCATTTGGCACTCAACGTTTGTTAAATTGAAGACAAATGCAATAAGGCATTTTCCCTCGAAAATAAATCATTACATGGATTTTTGTTCCAAAGAAAACAACATAGGGAATAAAGAGAACTCACAAAGACTGTGAAGTTAATCTTAACTGTGATTATGTAAATGCGGATTTATTTGCATGGGATTTTTTTTTGAGATATAGGGTTCTTGGGCAGTGTAGATTAATGTTGGAGTAGTCTCTCTGTAATCAGTTAAATATTAAATATGCTTGCACATTATTGCTTATTACCAAAGATGTCCATTCAATCAAAACAAAGGGACTGAAAATAAAACATAAAAATAAGAGAGAAAAAAAAGAAGACCTGTAGCTCCTCCTCCAGACCCCCCCTCCCAACAGTGATGAATAGGAGGGACTGTCTTCCCCACCTCCCCCCTTCCCTCGGGAGACTATCTTTGCAGTGCTTAAGGCGGCTCTGAAATTCTTTTCTTTACAAGATATACGTATTTCTTTATATCAAGCACAGAGCTGTTGCTATTCCTGAGTCTGGTGCACCAGAAGCCCAGGTCAGCTGCGGCCCAGCTTGTGGCGATGGAGAGTCTGGGGATGCGCTTTCTCAGGTCTGAAGAGCACACAGCTTGAGTGACAGCGGATTCGTCGCTACAGGTTCTCCTTCAGGACACGTCTTCCTTGCGGGCTTTTGGATTTTCCCTAGAAAATCGCCCAGGGGGCTCCGGCGCGGAGGAAGAAGAGGAGCCCAGCGCGGCGATCCCCGGGATCGTTCGGAGCCAGGAGAGGCTCCAGTCCTGCGGTGCGCGTCGCCGCCGACCGGCTCTGCGGCTCTCGGGCTGGGAGAGGACGGCGGCGATGGGGAAGAGCGTCCGTACCCGAAGGTGCGGCTGGGCGTGAGCCGCCGCCGCCGCCGCAGGAGCAGCTGTCGCCCTGGTGAGCCCGGCCCGAGCGCTCCCAGTGGAGCGAAGCCAACGCCGAACCCGGGCGCAGGCACCACGTGGAGAGCACTGGTTGCAGCCAGATGTGCAAGGCTCCCGCTGCACTGCCCGCCCCGAAAAGCGGCTCCTTTCCGCTCCCAGGCCCCGCTCCACTCTCCAGCTCGTGGACTCCGCCTTCCTAAAGGAAGTCCCGGCGCCCCCCGGCCAGCGTAGGGGGTCTTGGGAAGCAGCAGCAGGTGCGCCCGGGAGCCCGGGCTCCTACTGCGGAGCTCCAGTTAAACGCCTTGGCAGGAGATTTGTCCCTGCCCGCGCGCCGTGCCGCCCGGCCGCGATCTTGTGCAAAGAGCGCGAGGCGGAGATGGGCGAGACCATGTCAAAGAGACTGAAGTTGCACTTAGGCGGGGAGGCAGAAATGGAGGAGCGGGCGTTTACCAATCCCTTTCTGGACTATGAGGCTGCCGCCTCCGCGGCGCTAGCCGCCGGGGCAGCCGAGGAGACTGGCAGCAATCGACCGCAGCCCACTACGGAGGAGCTCGGCCTCCCTTTTCACAATGATGGGAAGGTGAGTGGGTGGCCCGAGTCAGTCTAGCCCTGGGCCGCGTTGGGTGGGGGGAGCGCTGGCGTTGGTAGCGTCCACCCGCCCCGCCCCCAACTGCGCGCTGACGTCGGTGGACGCGCTGTGGGAGTGGACGCTGCGCTGTTCACTGTAGTTGATTTGTTGTTGGTCTCTGGGCGAAGCTGGGCTTGTTAGCCACTTTCTGGTGTCTGTGAAATACCAACTTTCTTAGTTCAGTTATGGAACACTCTTATCTCCTGACTCTTGGGGGTTATTGTGGCGATTGGATATGTAGATTAATTTGCTATGGAACCTCTAGGGGCACATTTTCGGGGCACCTACTGACAACCTGTTTATACTTCATTCAGGTTAAGTCCATCCTCAGACCTGTCCGTTCTTACGATGTATGGCACAAGAACAAAAAAGCATTGCTAATAAGCAGTAGAGTCATTTGACTTGTGTTGTTGAAGCATTTTACCTAATGTTAAGTGCCGTCGAGCGCACACCCTTTAAATTTCTGTGCTTTCTAATATGTGGATTAATATGCCTGATTGCAAAGGCGAACCACAAGGTCAGAGGTTCAAGCTCACCAGTCATTCCTTGGAAACCCTATACAGGGTCGCTGTGGGTCCGAACCCGACTTTGTTGTTGTTGTTGTTAAGTGCCATCGAGTCGGTTCCGACCCGTAGCGACCCTGTACAGGGTTTCCGAGGCTGTAAATCTTTACGGGAGTAGAAAGCCTCATCTTTCTCCCGCGGAGCGGCTGGTAGTTTTGAACCGCTGACCTTAAGGTTCGCAGCCCAATTCGTAATCACTACGCTACCAGAGCTCCTGAACCCGACTTTAGGGCACTTAAATACAACAATACAATGTACGTAGCTTGGTTGTTCCGTTTCTTCTACTATATTTTGTGTCCTATAGTTGGAAGCTGGATGTCTAGACAAGCATGAATTGAGGTAGTGGTTAATGGAAACAAAGTCTTGAACATTGGCATAACTATTCCCGGAGTCCTGGTGTGGCTGGCGCTTTGGGATAATGTGCTGGACTCCCAGGTCAGTTTGAACCTCAAGGTTGCCCGTTCAAACCCACTAGTCTCCTCTTGGAAACCCTGTACAGGGTCGCTATGGGTCGGAACTGACTTGGCCGGCCCTTACAACGTTCTTGTTCTGGAGCTCTGGTGTGCACTGCAGGATAAGCGCTGGACTGCTAACTTCATTCAAGGTTGGCAGTTCAAACCCATCAGCTGCTCCATGGGAACCCTATACAAGGTCGCTGTCAGTCGGAACTGACTCAATGGCACCTAACAACAGCAATTTTTGTTCTAATGAGCCCTAGTTCTAGGCTTGTCTACTAACTGGAAAGTTGGTGGTTTGAACCCACTGTTCCTTCCGATGGAGCTTGTGTAACAATTTACAAGCTTGGAAACTCAATTCTGCTCTGTCTTATGGGGTAGCCATGAGACAGAATCCACTTCGTGGCCATGGTCTTGGTGCTCTAGGGTTTGCCATTTAGGCTGGCTTTCCCTCTACAACACCCCCACCGCATTTCCTTGTCCTGTGTCACCTCCCTGGCTCCCATGTGTTTTCTATTAAAAAAGGCACAAGTTTTGGGCTAACCTAAATAGAAGGTAGTTGTGAAAGAGACATTGATTGTAATATGGAATTTTAGGCAAGTGACTTAATTCTTTAAATCTCACTTTTCTTATAAATAATTAGGAATTGTTATCTACAGTTTTTAATCCACAGGGATGTTCATGATGAGTTAAAGTATATAAATTGTCTATCAAATTGCCTAATAGCAGTCAAGAAATCAAACGATGTATTGCATTAGGCAAATCTGCACAAGACCTCATTAAAGTGTTGAAGTGCAAAGATGTCAGCTTGAGGACTAAGGTGCCTCTTACCCACGCTATGGTATTTTCAGTTATCTCATATGCATGTGAAAGTTGGACAGTGAATAAAGAAGACAGTGAATAAGAGGAATTGATGCATTTGAGTTCTGGTGTTGGAGGAGAATATTGAAAGTGCCGTGGACTGCCGAAAGGACAAATAGATATGTGTTAGAAGAAGTACAGTCAAAGTGCTTCCTGGAAGCCAGGATGGGCAGACTTTGTCTCTCATACTCTAGACATACTGACCAGTTCCTAGAGAAGGATATCATGTTTGGTAAAGTGGAGGGTTAGAGAAAGAGAGGAAGACCCCCAGCGAGATGGATTGACATAGTGGCAGTAGCAATGGGGTCAGGCATAGCAATGATTGTTATGTTGGCATCTGATCGGGTAGTGTTTGGTTCTGTTGTATTAGGGTCCCTATGAGTCGATACCAACTCGATGGCACCTAACAACAACAACAAACTACCAAATGTAGGAGTCCTCCATAAATGTCAGCCTCTTTTTTCGTCTTTAAAATTGATCTCTTGTGGTTTAGAATTCATATGCCAATACTGATTTTTGTTTAGATTCCTTCCATTTTCACACACACGAGTCAAAAGTGTTACTACTGGGTCCCAGTTCATGCATACATAGGTTTATTCCAAGCAAAACCTATTTGAACCTGTCTCTGCAATCAGTGGGTGCTGTAGACAAGTTCTCTCGTAACACACTTGCCTTAGCATTGCTGTTTGTTATTGTTAAGTGCTGTTGAGTAGGTTCCAACTCCTAATGGCCCTGTATAGGATTTCCAAGGAGCAGCGGGTGGCTTTAAACTGTGAACCTCATGGTTAACAGTCCAGGGCGTATCCTATAGTGCCACACCCGGAGTCCTTAATAGTGTTGTTATGAAGTGGGGTTGTTATTAAGTTATTAGGGACACTGTATATGGTTTCCGAGGAGTGCTGGTGAGTTTGAATCACCAACCATGCTGTTCAAACTGAGCTGCTGGTTGGGTGCTTATCCTACAGTGCCACACCAGGAGTATTATTGTTGTGTTATTGTTATTGTTGTTAAGTGCCTTCGAGTCAGTTTCGACTCGTAGTGACCCTGTATATGGTTTCCGAGGAGTGCTGGTGAGTTTGAATCACCAGCCATGCTGTTCAAACTGAGCTGCTGGTTGGGTGCTTATCCTACAGTGCCACACCAGGAGTATTATTGTTATTGTTGTTAAGTGCCTTCGAGTCAGTTTCGACTCGCAGTGACCCTGTATAGGGTTTCCGAGGAGTGGCTGGTGAGCTTGATCTGCTGCCCTTGCGGTTCAAACCAAGCTTACAGTGGAGCACATTAACCCATAGTGCCTCACCAGGACTCCTCAGTATCATTAGTGTGCTTAAAACAACAACAAAAAGGAATCCCATCAAAACAGTAGCTTCTGAGGGCAACTGCTCAGCTGGGCCAGCTAAATTGAAGGTAGAGGTCAGCTCAGAAAGTTATGACTGTTT